AGCATGTGGTATGACTGGTGATGGAAGCTCGTGCACTTGATGCAGATGAAGTCTCCATCCTCGAGACCTCTTCTTCTCTTCTCTTCTCTCATCCCATTGCCCCAAACCATATATGACAGCATCGATTGGCCACCATCGCGTCCACCAAGAGGGACCGATGTCGATGTGGCCTTGGTCTGGCAAAGAGACACTGTAAATGGGTCTTTGCTAAGCAGTTCCTCAAAGTTTGGTGGGGATATTACTTGTATTATAGGGCCGGTGCAAGCCTCTTCCACCTCAACTTCATCCGCAGCCTGGACACCACTCGCTTCTTCAACCCCCCTTCCTTCTTCAAAATGTGGTCTCTCTCCTCGGAAAAGATCAAGAACTACCTCTTCTTTGCTTTCTTCCTCATCCTCCATAACTTCTTTCCTCACCCTTTCTCTCTCTTCTTCTTCCATAACTGATTGGAGAGCAAGTAGCCATGCAAGGTTCTCAATAAGTTCAGCTTGCATCTCCTCGCTCGGACCCAGCATGTCAGAGCGGAAATCGGGAAAGTTGTGATCTACCACTAGAGGATACACTTGATCATGATTATCATGGGAGCTTTCCTTGACAACTTCTGTATGCTCCTCAACATCCTCATGATTGCCTTCTTCTTCCTCTACCTCTACTTGTATGGCAGCATAAAGGTTGTCTTGAGAAAACTGTGAACAGGCTTTCTCAATGACCTCTATGTGCTCCTTTATGCTCCGAAGGGTATCCTCTGTTTCACGGGGAAATGAGAAGTCAGTTTGGGCAATGGCCTGGATATGAGGATCCATCTCGGGAAAGGATCTCTTAGGTACTCGAGCAATCTGCTCCACGAGAAGCCTCAAGTGATAGTTTGGATCCGGCTGTGGAGTGTAGCATGGCTCTGCCGGATCGCCCGTGAAGGTTGTGGCGAACCCAAGATCTAATGGTCCTTCTTGTTGTGGGAGGAATTCTTCTTGATAAGGAGATTGTTCTTGAAATACCCAGGGGTCTGATTGTTCTTCGTAGTAGGAGGGTTGGTACTGAAACCCGACTCCATAGTCTTATCCTCCTTGGTTACTCCAGGGAGTCTCGGGGTAATACCACTCGGATGGTGGTGGATACCCCCAATGGTTGGAGAAGCCATTAGGATCCATGATTCAGATCTGCACCAACAAAACAAAAAAACACCCAAGTGAAAAGCAAGGCTGGAAAAAAACGCTAAAGTAACAAACTTCTGCCTTTCATAATAATCTAGAAAGTCCCCGGCAACGGCGCAAAAAACTTGACACGCTAAAACACAACACCTAATAATGGCCAAGTGTAACCAATGAAAGGGACTGCAGTATAGTGGCACAAGTAATAAATATCGAATCCACGGGTCTCTAGAATTACTATTACTCAGCTTCAGTTCATTATCTAGCAAACTAGATTAAGGATTGATTTATAAACTACTCTACTAATTACAAGTTGGGAACTCACTTAGGTATGATTCCCCCTAGCTCCTCAATTAGGTCCAAGTTGCAATTACTTTTGGTTGGTCTACTATTGATTAAACTGCGGAAGATCCTAAATTAGCTTGGAATCTCTTAAGCTGACCAAGCCCTCTTAGACAGAATACCTGGCAGACGACTAGCCTTCACCGGGGTAGACTGCTAAGGCGATTCACACAGATCTCCACTACTGGAATGAATTCCAGTACAAAGCAGTGAATTGATTGACTCTCGCACAACCAATTCACCACTATCAATCAAGGAAGCTCTCTTAACCTAATCAGATTCTATCTATCATAGGTTAAAGCAGAAATCAAGAGAAGATGATCAGGCTTCAATTGACTCTATAAATCATGCCTCAATCGATTATAATCAAACAATATAGCTTCCAAAACTTCATACAAGAAAGATCCTAACACATGGAACTAGGGTTCCTCAAAACCTAAGTGAAGGGAAGTTACTCCATAGAGAAGAGAGAGACTGCAGAAATCTGATCTAGATCTTCAATCTCCATCTCCAAGCTTGATTCCCGAGCTCCAATGGCGAAGAAATCCTCCAAAATAGCTCCAAGAATGTTCCCAAGTCGCTCTCTCTCTCTAGGGTTCGTCCCTTGGGTGTTTGGGAACCAAAACCCCGCTCTCTCTCTCCTTTGGCTCGAAATTGGGTTCAACCCCAGAATTTCCCGACTCACACGGCCAGGCCACACGATCGTGTGGCATACCCAGCTGCCCGTGTGAGTGCCAAAACGCGGAGTTTCGATTAATGGGCAACCAGGCAAGCTACACGGGCAGGATCCACACGGCCGTGTGGCTCCCCAGGATGCCCGTGTGAGTGCTCGGTAAATCCCACACGGCCACATGGCCAGGTCACACGGCTGTGTCGGTTTTTAGGTGTGCCCGTGTGGCTTGCTCAGCCTCTGTTTAATGCTTCGTTTCTCCCTCGTCCGGACTCCGAATCAGTCGCCGTTTGATCCCAGATGCTCGTAGTCTCGTCCTCTTTCTTTTCACGAAAAAATTACATGATTATTTGTCCATAATATGAGGTAGAATTCCATTATTCCTCAGGTCATGCTCGTGTTTCTTCTCCCGAATTGCCAAATGATCTCCGATTGACTTCAATGCTTCAATTCACATGCTAGGACCTGAAATGTGACAAAGGAACACAACCTAGCATAAAATAGTCAAAGAAAGCAGAAACTCAAGCCAAAATGATCAAGAAACGAGGGTGCAAACATGTGCAAATCCGATATTATCACTCAACAAATTCATGACCCGCTATTGCCCTCTCTTGAAGACGGCCGAGTGGAGAAAGAAGATCACCCATTTCGAGCAATGAGACCTTGAGAGATGCCTGGGAAAGATTCTCCGACTATTTCCTTCAATGCCCTCACCATGGATTCGAGGAGCAATTTCGGATAGAAACTTTCTATGGTGTGCTTATACATGAAGACAATATCCTCATTGACTCTCTGTGCCAAGGGAGGTTGATGAACATGACCCCACCTCAAGTTCCCCAGTTGCTCGAAGATATGGCTCTTAAAGGATATGATTAAGGCTTAACGATAGGTGGGAAGAGAGGCAATGAAAGAGGAGTAAGAAGTGTGGGAGCAAGTGCTCCAGTTGAAGCGAAGCTTGACAAGTTGATCTAGGTAATTCTTGAAGACAAGAAGCAAGGGGAGAGAGCCGTGATATCTAGTGATTGGGGTGCAAGTGTGGGCCAGGATGAAGCCGAGTGTCACATGGTGAGTGGGACGCGGCTCAATGCGAGCATCTGTACTCCATTGCCCCTGGGCATGCCGACCGGATGTCAATCTTGGAGGAGTTAGTGACAACCTTGGTTGCCTGCAGGTCGAAGAAGTTTGAAGAAATTGACAGGTTCATAGGAGAGGCGACAGATAAATTCTCAACCATAGAGGCAGGGTTGCAGAGTCACCAAACACTCTTGACAACCCTGACCACAAGTGTGGCAATTATCTCACAAGCAGCTCGTTCCTGGAAGCAAGCCCGACGAAATAGAAGTGGGTCGGTTACGAAGTGGAAGAGAGGCCAGGGAGCTACCCCCAAATAAGAAGGCGCTTGCCACAGAGGAGCAACAGGGTGGAGGGCTCCCCCCCCCCCCCCCCCCCCGAGCAACAAGAGGCCATGAGTGAAAAGGAGAAAGACAAGGACGCTTCTATCCCCCAACCGGAGTAGAGGAAGGAAAAGGAAACTCCAACTCTTCACTATACTTCTCGACTCTGTAATGACCGTATGCCATTAGAGTTTGGCCATTTTATGGAATTGATGAACCAGTTGCACTTAAACATCCCCTTCATGAAGGTCGTTACCCAGATGCCCAAGTACGCAAAGTACTTGAAGGAACTCCTTTACAACAAGTAGAAGCTGGAGGGGATAGCTACGGTGAACTTGAATGAAGAGTGCTCCACCACCCTGCAGAACCACCTGCCCACAAAGCGCAAAGATCTAGGGAGTTTCACTATCCATTGTTTTATTGGCAACATGTGCATAGGAAAATCCTTAGAGGATCTAGGAGCTAGTATAAATGTGATGCCTAATAAGTTGTTTCAGTTGGCGGATAGGTCTATTGTACGGTCTAAGGGGGTTATGGAGGACTTGCTCATTAAGGTAGGGACTCTCATTTATCCGGTTGATTTCTTCATTTTAGACATTGATGAAAACGTGGATGTCCCTCTCATCTTGGGTAGACCTTTCTTAGCTACCTCCAAGGCCTTAATTGATGTGCATGGTAGAAAATTGGCGCTTAGGGCAGGGGAGGAAGAAGTTACATTCTCTACTGATGATAGCATGAAGTTTTCTTATCATCATGATGATTTTGATTATTGCGAAGAGGTCTTTGAATTCATGGAGGCACTCGCATCGGCGGGTGCCCATACTTTTTACCCTTTTGAAGAGTGTTTTTTGGTAGGGGAGAATAGCTCGAAATCTCCGGAAGAGGAAAGCCAACTTTCGCAAGATCAAGAAGTTGAGGCCTTGTCCTCGATGCCTAAAATCCCTACCTCGTTGGAGGAACTTCCTGAGTTGGAGCTAAAGCCTCTGCCTCCACATCTTGAGTATGCTTTTCTGAGGGATGATGGAAAACTCCAGTCATCATCAACTCAAATCTTGCACTGGAGCATAAGGCTGAACTGATTGAGGCCCTGAAGCGTCACGAGAGGGCGATAGCATGGAAGATCACATATATCCGAGGGATCAGATCGACCTTTTGCTCGCACAAAATCCACTTGGATGAAGGTGCCAAACCGGCTCGACAACCGCAAAGGCGTGTGAACCCTAATCTGGAGGAAGTAGTGAAGGAAGAAAGCACAGGTTAATAGTTCTTTAAAGCCTAGTTACTACATAAGTAGATAGTAGTCTAGGCTTTCTAGATACTAGTACAAAACTTCTAGATATTAAATCTTTCACAAGCATATATTAATCAATGTTCTTCTAGATATTCGTTGCTTAATTGTTAGATACTTATCTTGGCAGTCCAGATAATAACCTTTATAAGCTTGCACCCGTTTTCCAGCTCGACTTTGTGGGTGCTGAGCTTGATAGGAATTGGGGCAGATTGGCAGTATTTTCTTCGTCTTTGGTAGCAGCAGCAAAAGCAAAAATGGAAGAGGAGGTAGTTGTCATGGAGGAGGAGGTTAGTCAAGGTACCGTGAGAGACAATAATATGTTTAGCCGCGTGTACTCCAGGAAAGGATGTAAGAAGACAGTGCTGCCAGTTGTTCAGGAGTTGGAGGTGCCAGCCGTTACATCAACTGTAGTTGATACAGTAGTTCAACAGATGGACTCGCCGGCCATTGTGTCAACTTTTGATCAAGTGGTGGAGTCAAAGTCAATTGTCCAGGCTATGGTCATACATTATACCGACCCAGATACGACATTCGCTGATGTGATGCAGATTGGTTTCCAGGCCACTGCTGCTCCTGAAGAGAGTATCGGGACATCTCCTACTACGGTAATATTTCCTTTACCAGTAGATACTAGCCTGGACTCCCATGATATTTGTTTATTTTTATGTGGATACTAGCCTGGCCACCAGGATATTTGTTTCTTTTTCTGTGGATACTAGCCTAGGCTGCCAGGATATTTGTTTCTTGTTGAGTAGATACTAGCCTTTGGCAATGTTTTGCAGATACCTGTTGAGTCAACTGCTGTTGCTCAGGAGAGTATCACAACATCTCCGACTATGGTGGTCGATCCTTCTACTGAGGTTCTGACGCAAGGAGAAGCAGGACCATCCGAGGAGGAGCTTATAGCAGCAACATATGAGAGGATGGAGGATAGCGACGATGATATTATCATCTTTAAGAGAATTAGGACTGAGGAGGAGGCAGAGTATCTGTACTCTATCACACCGGAAGCATGGAAGGCAACCCTAAAAACTCCAGAGTTCGATAGGTCAAGACACCACCCATTCGGCAAATCAGTGTACGTTCTGCCAAAGACTCTGTCGACGAAACTCGATGATACGGCTCTGCAAGTGGTGGAGTTCATCTTCAGTACCACTGCTAAAGACGAGTAAGTTGACTGAGGAGTTATTTAATCACCAATTTTAATTTGTCCAACACACATTTCTAACCTGGTTTTCATTTGTGTTTTACAGTGGCAAATTTGTCGTGGATACTCCAACCGGTAACCTTACCCGTTCCCAGCTACTTTCATTGAAGGGTAAAAATTGGCTGCATGGCCAAGTACTTGTAGTATACGGGATATTCCTAAATAACAAAGAAGTATGCAAGGAGGTGGTGTAGAGAATTGTCTTCCCATGGAGCTATGTAGTAAGTATTATCTTCACTACTTAGATCCTATTTATATTAAAAATATCTAATTTGATATTGTTGTCTCTTCTAAGTAGCAACATGCCGTCAGTAATGCTATCAAAAAACAACTCGTGGACAAGGCGAGACTCCCTGCGTATATTTCATGCATAAAAGGAATCCAATTCTGAAACGGGAAAACTAGGAAAGATGTGATTACGTAAGTGTCTTCAATGTTTGGATTTTTTTTCTAATTTTCCTTGATATTGGTCTGGGTTTAAAGGATATTATTCTGGTTTGTTGAGATATTAATCTGGATTGTTAGGATATTAGTCAATGGTTAACTCACTAACTGCTTTGTGTTTCAGATCTTTTTTCCAATGTATCTAAATGATCACTACTGGGTGTACGTGGCTGACATGAAGAATATGAAGACTTTCCATCATGTAGAACTGCAGAGAAGTTGTACGAGGAGCTAAGGTGCTTGTTTCTGATTCCCACTCCCTCCTGACACGTCTTGGAAAGAAGCGAGATCGACAACAACATGGGAGCCACATCATATAGCTTCGCCTTGGGGACAGCCAAGCATAGGTTATCCACCCTTGGTTTGAACCAATAGCTGCAGCTGGGGATTGTATTTGTGGCGAATCCTCTCAATAAGGAAGTCCATCAAATGAAGCTACAAAAAACGTGTTTGTTAGAAAAGATATCCCAATAAAAAACAACCATTATCCAGGCAACCCAGACTAGTACCCATTCATGCTAAAAAGATACCTTGTATCAAAATAACTAATATCCCAAGAATGATGACAAATATACACAACTTTAAAATATAACTTACCATCAATAAGTGGATATCCCCATTAACCCACTACATCTTTATCCCTTCGCCCTAGCAACAACTTCTCTTTTTTTGGTAACAGTCAGCTCTACCTTTAGCTCCCGGGCGACATGACCACTCCAATTAAAAGTTTGAATATCCTCAACCCTCCCCGCCAAGTACTATGCATAGTTGAACTTACAGATCCGGGAGCTTGCTGGAACGAGCAACGAACCAAGAGCCACAAGTAGGAACTACCTCACTGCAACTGCAACAGGTGGTCTCCTCCTCTCTCTCCCCCGACATTTAGTCGACTCAGTCAACTCCACAACTTTAACATTTCGTTCCCGATTACCCTCCATGCTGAGCTCCTCCTTCAGAACCTTGAGCATCGACTTATTTGCCTTCACAAGATCAATCTCAGCACCACCAAGAGGAATGCCGTATACACAGGCAACATCCTCATCTTTGATGGTGAGCACCTGTTGCAGGTCTGATGAACAAAGAGCAATGAGCCAGAAGGTCAAGCATACAACAAACAATCCAATAAGCATACAATAAATGGTGAGCACCTTCTTGTTCTCGCCTTCACCAAAAATGAAGTTGTTGGTGCGCATGTCGTAATGTGCCATCAAGGTAGGCAGAAACATCTCCTTAGGAACATTGACCATCCGAAGCTCAAATAGGCCTCCAAATCCAGCCTTCTCGATCTCTCTCTAGCAAGCTTGATAGTACCGTGGATCTTGCTTCCAGTCTTTTATAATTGACAACACCTTCTTGGTGCTACAACAAAATCTATATCGCCTCCCTCCTCCTCCTTCAACAACTTCTTCATCATTTTCTTCGTCCTCATCGTCTTCGTGCTCAATTTCTGCATCCTCAAAATCAAATTCTTCTTCCTCATCTTGTTGTTGTTTAGCACGTTTAGGCCTCGAGGTTTCGCCTTCTGTTTTTGTCCTCCTTGTTGCAGTAGCTTTAGTTCTTGCCATTGTGATTTCCCTACACAGTAGAATATCCAAATTCGTCAAACAACTATCCATGCAATTCACAACGGATATCAAGCTCGACCAAAACCAATATCACCCTAGGAATATCCAGATATACCAAACAGATATCTTGGCAAATGAAAACTGATATCCTGCTTGAACAAAACTAATATCGGTCCCCAGATACACAAAACCCAGAACACAAGCAACCCAGATCCAGTCAAATCAGCAAAAATTAAAAACGGGTTACCTAAATTGTAACCAAGCACACCAGGGCAATACCCAAACCCGTCGCCACCTGTATCCATGAACCCCACCGAAACCTAAACCAAAAAGACGGAATCACACAACCATGAAAATGAATCCCAGGCATCCAGACGAACCCCAACAAACCATTAACAAGTCGAGCCAGCCAAAACCCCCAATCCATGAAACCCTAAATACTATCCATGCAAAACCTAAAACGAATCTATGAAATCTAACAGTCTTAAGTACGAATGAAGCAAGGGGAAGACGCATACCTTATCAGCGTAGTCCTTGTCTCGCTACCGTCACCGTCGCACTGCTGTCAAAGCCGTCATCGCAGTTGTCTTGACCATCGTCCTCGCCGCTACAGTCAAAGTCAAAGTCGCCCTCGACAAGCACCAACACAGTCGTCGTCGTTTTCTCGCGCAACCGTCGCAGTCGTCGGCGACGTCGTCACACACCGGATCGAGTGAGGAAAGTGAGAGGGAGAGAGAGAGGAAAGGGAGAGGTAGAGGGAAACCGACGCTTTTTAGAGAGAGGGAAAAATATCGAATGGCGGAGAAAAAGCAGATGGGGGAGGGTTTTGGGTATAAAAAATTTGAAAATTTTGAATTTGGGGGCTCAGCAGGTCCCATTTTCTTTCCAGTGGGCCTGACCCAACCGATGGTCTCAGCTCTTCTCCCTCACATACTGGCGCATTTTCTCCGATAAATGGTGACTTGGCAACGTGGAGGCCCATCCGACCTTGTTAGTATCTACTAACAAAAAACCCCTATTAGCCTAAAAATTTGCATTTGAGGATAACTAAATTGCATTTCCAGATATTATCAATTTCTCCATCCGTAAGCCTAAAAATTGGGGAAAATCCCAATTTCATCTCACTTCTATGAAACCGGCCCTCTCTCTCGTTTATCCGTGCTTGCTCTGCTTAGTTTTGCTTGCTATGCTTGCCTGTCATCGCCGACAACCGCCAAATCCCTCTGCAATTCAAAGGCCTCCCTGTCTCTTTATCAATCTATCTACTCTCCATCTGCTTCCTTCCCTCTTTGTTTAATTTGCCCCGGCCCCCTCTTCTCCAGTTACAATACGTTATTCCTGTCGCCTTACCTCGTCAGGTTCGTAACTTTTTTTTTTTTTTTTTGGGTAAGAAGGTTCATAATTTTCTTTTCTCCTTAACACCAGACCTGACATTTCTTTTCGAGCGGGGCCAATCCATGGGTGGGATTGGCTGAGCTTGGTTTCTGCTTCTGACCCTTTTCCATGAATTGAATGCCTGCTTTAACCAATTGGATTGCATTACAATCAACTATTATTTTGATTCTCATGTGTTCGATCAATTGGGAGCTTCTGCCCACCTTTGCATTTCCTTTGGCTTCTTTCGTTGTGGAGTGAGGCCTTCTACTTAGTTTCCCGCCGCCGCTCCCCAAATTCGTTATATTTAGGGTTAGGCTAGGCGGCGCTCCTCTTTATTTGCGATTTGTCTAATTTGCTTTCTGGGTGTTTTTGCCCGCTTCATTTTGGGTTTTCCTTTCAAGTGTTCGGTTCCGCTAGAGTAAAGCCAGGGGACTTTTTGTTCGCGTAGCTTTGGTGGTGCGTGGCCCGTGGAGCAGTTGTTTCAACATGCTGTTTCTACCACCTATTAGTTATGCTAGTGGATATAGATTGAGTTTTGAATCGTTGGCATGCTGAAATAGTTCAATCTTTGAAATAAGCTGTTGGCATTGCAGATGTTGGAGATGTTGAAGTTGGAGATGTCACAGCAGAGGTGGTCTAGCCAACTGACTAGTGGGACGGTGTATTGTTGTGGAAAAATGGTTAGAAATGTGGGCTGGATTTCGCACTGACTGAGCGTATGGCATGAGTTGTGCTATGTTGAATAATGTCTCTTAATTCCGTGTCACTCTTAAAGATGATACAAAGCTCCATTAACTAGTACCGAAAGGTTATTAGCTTCTTTGGATTATATATGGAGTTCATTGAGCTACTTGCTGCTAGGAAATTACAGCAAAGTCGAGGATGTACTAGGGGTGGCATTGAGCTTCCTCTGAGGGTCTGTATTCATATTCCTTAGTAGGAAAAAGTTATAGAGAGCTGTAGTTGAATTCCTGCAAGGTTCTGTCATGGCTGAAATCATAATTAGGACTTGAGGTTGTCTTTGCTAAAACTATATTTCTGTAACATTTGTTTTGGACATTGAGCTTGGTTTAAGTGGAAACCTGTACAGCATTGAAAAAGTTGTTGGATTGTGGTGTCTAGTAAGGTTGCTCCAGTTGGAATGTGATATGATACATCTGTTGGAGCATTTGCTGCTTAACTATTTGCTCTGCATTCTCATGGGTGCATAATGTGCATGTTTTTTCCCCCTCACTAATATTTTGTGCTGCATGTTTATCTTGTTTACAATTTTACAGGGTGTAGTGCTGATAATTTAACAGTCAGTGTGGACCTTATTTGAATGACGTTTTGGCCAAATATTGGATTCAGAGGATACGAGCCTTCCAGTTGTTGCAGCTGATGTGTCTGTTGAGTGTGCCCTGCACCTTGTCTTAAGCATTTTGCAGTGGACGTCCTTAAATTTTGATCTCTTGGTCTTTAAACATTACTCTCAAATGTCAGAAGTTGACATGGCAGTCATCAAACCTGAGGTATGCTTTTCTACTTTTCTTTATGTTATTATAAGTTTCTAACAAATGCATGGTGTTCGTCTTATCACACTGGTATCTGAAGTTGAATGCTTTGGTAACTAATTTGGGGCACAGATTTGTTTGATAGATGACCGTTATCTCAACTTGTGGTGCGTTACTCTGGATTTTACAGATGATGAAGTCATATATCTGGCTTCAAACTGCTGATGGTTCGATTCAACAAGTTGAACAAGAGGTTGCCATGTTTTGTCCTATGATATGCCATGAAATAATGCAGAAGGGCCTGGGATCATCAAAGAACTATGCCATATCTCTTCCACAACGCGTCAGTCCTGCCATGTTGAGTCTGATTCTTGACTACTGTAGGTTTCATCAAGTACCAGGTCGTTCAAATAAGGTTGGTCATGTACTGCTTCTCTTATCTTGTTTGGTTGCTTCTACCGCAAGTTGGCTTCTGAAATCCTTACACACTGGTCTTACTGTCTAATGGTTGTATCAAATTTAATCATTAACTAAATCTCTGCTTGTTATTTGGCTGACATTGCTTTTGCATAGGAACGGAAATGTTTTGATGAAAAGTTCATTCGAATGGATACAAAAAGGCTTTGTGAGTTGACATCAGCTGCTGATAGCCTCCAGCTTAAGCCTTTGGTTGATCTAACTAGCCGAGCGTTGGCACGGATTATTGAAGGGAAAACACCGGAGGAGATACGTGAGATATTTCATTTGCCAGATGATCTGACAGAGGTGCATGGTGCATTTTGAAAGTTCCTTGTCGAATTTAATATATTATGTATTATCATCCTATAATTCCCCATTTTGTTATTTTAGTACTGATCTTATTTGTTTAGGAAGAGAAGTTGGAGCCTTTGAAAAACACAACTGATGATCCCCGGATTCGACTTTTGAATAGATTATATGCAAAGAAGAGGAAAGAGCTAAAAGAAAGGCAGAAAAAAAAGGTGAAACTTCGCTTTGCATGCTGCTGAATTTTATCCACCTCCCAACTCCCAGTGCTTTTCATTGTCAAGGGTCTATCTCTGATGTGAAATTACAATGTTTATGTGGATGTGTGTGCTGTGCTAGAATTGACTTGATTGTTGATGATAAATAGGCATTTCCTTTTGCAGAGTGTCGAGGTGGAAGATGGGTGTGTGGACGAGCGATCAGTTGATGACCTCTTGTCATTTATTAATGGAGAAAATGCAGGTGGAGTTGGCAAGGCAACCCTAAAGTAGTTTAAAAATTATCTTTCTTTTAATCGTTCTCTATCAATCAGGAACTTAGAACTTCATGCTTGGAATGACTGTTTAATGATATAATACCTAAGAGTACATGATGTTATCTTCTTATTATACACTCTGAAGATAAGTACTTAGGACTTCGGTTGTCATCCAAAAACGTTAGGCAAGAGTCAGATTTATTGGTTGTGTTGCATGAAAGGAAACTGTTAATTATATTAATTTATGCTTTTGTTGGTGTTATCCCTTTTATTGCCTTCCCTTGCTGTTTATGGAAAAGGCTTGACTCTCCGTAGGTCAAAGGGAACAATGAATCAACAATGGTTAGAAAATGATATAGGGAAGGGGTTTTGGTTAAGTTTATGCCATGAATACCATTATTGAGTTGCTGGATGTGGAGAAACGATGAATAGTCTCTTGCTAGGCAACACGAATGGTTATAGCAAACAATTGGTTCCATAATATGATAGATGACTATTTTTGTTTGCCCGAAATAATGATTTGAACAAATTTATAGCAAAGGAAAACTGTGGAATTTGGTTCATAGATGTGTTTTAAGATAGTGAGATAAAAATAATTTACTCTGTCTTTCCTGTAGTGTTTAGGTGATTTATAAACTGTAATTTTGTTCAGTGGGCTCTGTGTGCCACACCTCATTCCTGTACTACCTCCTCTAAACCAGTTCCATTAAAATAGAATTCATAGCAAGGTGAAGTTGAGGATACCTTAACTGCAGCCTTAGCTGATTTGCGTTACTATTTCGAGGAACGTGACAAAGGGTTCTTGTCAGAGTTATTTCTGCATAAAGTAACTTTACTTTTGCACCCTGTAGTTGTATCTATTCTTTCTTTTCAATAGATTAAGACAACTGTTTGCTGCAAGCATATGCACTTGTATTTCAATCTTGTATCCTGCACTCTATCATCTGGGCGTTCTCATTTGGTTGTATGGTTTTACAGATTCCAAGGGAGTTCGAACTTCAAAAAACAAAAAGAAAAACCGTCGGAGAAGGGATCCTCAAAAGCGCGCTTCCATTGATCAAGTTGCTGAATCGCATAAAAAGGTTTGAGAATTTACAGCTTTGGATAATCTTCTGATTTTCTAGCCTGTGATCTGTTAAAGAATCATAAAAATAATCTTGGTTTTATAATTTTACTTGTGTAGGATTCAAATGGGTTGGGTTGTTTAGGCCACACCACTGGGGGTGATAATGAATCACATTCTACACTAAGCGAAACATCAAAATTGCAAGATATAGAAGATGACATTTTCGATCAGAAAGTGGAGTTTGATGACGTTGATATCGATGATGAAATTGATCCCGCATTAAAGGAGGAAATTGATAGGTGAGCAATTATAGGTCAAGTAGTTCTTACTCAATATGTTGGGATGCTAGTTGTGAATATTGCTGATCTACCCTTTTCAGTTGTGATGTTGATATTGATTGAGTTGGAATTGGACGATATCAATTTTGCCTCTAAATCCTGTTTGAGACAGGCCCCTTTGAATATTCCTGGACTGTTTAAAAGAAGCAACCGTTGCAGACATTTATCATTTAAAATTTGCAGGTCACAGCTCTTAGTAAATGTTGAATGAGTTTGGCTTTGTCGGGTTTATGGATCTCAGAAAGTAACATTCATCAACTAACTATTCATCCCAGTAGGGCCCCATCACAAATATTTACTCTGATGTTGCGGGCGTGCTTCAATCAAACGGTTGCATGTTTGTTTGTGCTAAATTTGTGATATCACAATGATGTGGTTTCCCTTTGGTGGTTGTCACCAAACATATATGCCACTGTCTTTGCTTCATGGGTTCTAATGCGTGCACACCTTTTATGCAGGGAGGTGGAAGATTTTGCAAGGAGATTAAATTCAGACTGGCCTGAAAGGATGCAGGAGCTTCTGTCTTTGGGTCAAGATAGGAGCCCTGTTCACTTTTCCAGTAATGGCAACGGTAGCTTGAGAAAAAAACGAAGTATGTGGTCTGCTTCTCTTTTGCACTTGTGAGATGGTTTTTTCTTTCTTTCCTTTTTACCGTTGAATCCCATCTAGGAGATTTGATGGTTGAGAAGTGAAGTAACTGAAAGTATGTTATCGGGTGGAGATAAGCAGATGAAGAGCAGAAATGAGATTCAATGGTAACTGCTGCTGCTGCTGTTGCTGTTGCTTACTCAGTCAGGCAAATGACTGTACCAATTTTGACAAAAGAAAGAAAGAAAGACGGTGCGGGTTAAATGTGGATTTACCAACGGCGCCGGGAAGTGCTGGTTATTTGTCATAGCTGAAAATGCGGGCTGGAGCTGGGTGGGATAGCTGTGCAAGCAAATTCTTGAGAGGGTCAGAATTCCAGAAGGTGGTGATAATTTTTTTGTTCTTTTTTCTTTTATTTCTCTGGGGAAGGAAAGATGAACTAGAGGAAGACGTGGAAAGAAGAGAAGAATTTGGGTTTGTGCTTAATTTTTGACAGTTGGGGCAGATCCCCCAATAATATATAGTACACTTTTGTGTACTTTTGTTCATTTCAAATTTTCTGTAACGAGAGTGAAAGTAGGAAGGACATTTTTGTATTTACAATTAATTATTTATCTCACATAAAAATATCAACATCACTTTTGTGTACTTTTGTTCATTTCAAATTTTCTGTAACGAGAGTGAAAGTAGGAAGGACATTTTTGTCTTTACAATTAATTATTTATCTCACATAAAAATATCAACATCAAGATTTGAACCCAGGTCTTTTCAAACAAAGACAACAATCACAACCATTTATGCTAAACAAATTTGTTGTGTCTTTTTGAATACAAAATATACACGAAGTTCAACTCTCTGAAAATCACAGGACTTTCCATCATGATTAGCAAGCCCACTAAGTATATCGTATGTATTTTTATGGTGCTTGATACTTAAATTTTCATAGTAGAGTTTCATGTAATTTTCTCAACTTTAAAATTCTTTGTCTCTCCCTAATTTTTGCTAAAGGTAAATTGGCAATTGGCTAACATGGAAAAAACTAATTTTGTCACTACGTGTTGCGTCCTTGCATTTTTCAATTTAAATTTGTGGGTTTATCTTTGTTCTTATCTCTTTCTAACTTCCTCGGAAATTCCCTCCAACGTACAATAGTTTGCGCCCCTTTCACTTCCCAATACAAGGTCGCCTTTGAAAATCAATCATCCGATATCTCTTGGCACGTTAGTTTTATTGTTGCAGATTTAAGTTGGAAAAGTAAAAGAGTTTAATAAATAATGGAGTTGCAGAAGGAGGATTAGAAATTGAATTTTTGGTTGAAAATATGTCTCTTGAGATAATAAAAAAATTTGGCTGTACAAGGAAGAGTGGTGGCTATTGGATCTTATGTTTATGGTTTTTACATCTATCACAACATATTTTTATCTTAAAACGAGGAATCATTGATTGATTTATTGAAGTAGGTCGATTCTTTATTCAACCTACTGGAACTGATAGACAAGGAGTGTCTAATTTTGTGCCTTATTACTTTGATTGAGTCTATTAGTGTGTTGGAGATAACCCTAATTTTGTCGTTTTCTCTCAAGTTTTGATGGTCCCCTCTTAGCTTAGTTGTTAGTATATAGTTGACTTGAATCAACAACTCTCTATTTCTTTTTTATTAGTGGCATATTGTTCATAGAAGGAGCGCATTAAACCCTTATGTAGGATTGTGAGATTTAAGATTTAGTTTCAAACTATTTATGAGTCGTTTGGAATTTCACTGATCTTTTATACCCTCTTTCTTGAAAACCAACTAACCAATAACATTTTAACGAGGGTTTAATTAACATTATGAAAATGGAATTAATGATACATTTTATATTTTATATTCTTAAATGATGATAGTATTTCTCCGAATGTTAGACCTATATATTCTTTCTTTATGTATCATCTCGATCGAAGGATTGTCAATAAAATTAAACCGATTGATTGGCTTAAATGTAACATAAAAATATAAATAATCAAATATGAACATTCCGACCAATGGGCCGGGGGTTATAAGCTAGTTAAAATAAAGAAAAACAACTCGGACTTTTCACGGAAAGCCATAAAAGAGAGAGGGGGACAGAGAGATAAAATGATTATTTTGGGTTTATTTGTTTCTCCTTGAGAAGGGAAAGAACAACTTTCAGATGACTTCTTCGTGCAGTACAAGGGTAGATAGATTAGAGTCTCTTTCATGTGCTTTTTTTTTCCTTCTTTCTTTTGATTTGAATTTTTGAGCATTACTATTTTTTTTTATGGGCATTACTATTCGTCGCCTTAAATATTTGAATTTATCGACCTAAAACACATAAAATTACAAATTTGTCCTTAAACCAATTACCCTCCTCCGTTCTCTATCCAACCACTGTCAATGAACTCCTAATTATACCAGAGGACATCATTAAGTTGTTTCTCCTTGTCCCTCAACCCAATTACCACTTAAAATATGAACTCCTAATTATACCCGATGGATGTGATGTCGAAGCAGATGGTTGGGTAGAGGATCGAGTTCGGGGACAGGAGAAGCACGATGTCACCCTTTTGGATTCCGACGGCGGAGCAAAGGCCGGTGGTTAGGGATGTAATTGGGGGTGGGGATTCTATTTTTGTTACTATTAAAATCAGGGATAAAATTGTCCATTTGTACAATTTAGTGCGAAAAATTTTAAATTTTAGAGCGACGATTAGCGATTCAGAAATTTTTTAGGGGGATTTTCTTATAATCTGAACTTGGCAAAATTTTCAATATACCACCCAAATATATAAAAAAATATCACTCATTTCCAAAAAAATTAAAAATACCACCATTTTTCCAAAAATAGTGGCCACTATAACAGTTTATTTGAGAACTATGGGTGTGTTGCAGTTTTCGTTCCTGCCGGCTGAAAATCCCATGGTGTTGCCGAGGTCAGATTAACCGTGCACCAACTCAATGATTCGGCGGAAACGACCGCACCCCCGCGGTTTTGCCTATTAAATTTTTCTTTTTCCGAAACTTCAAACGAGCGTAACTTTCCGCTCGGGTATTCGGCTTAGCAATTTTTTTATTTAGCATAATTTTTTGAGATCTTGCAAGCCGCAGGCGGTTTGGTCCTGCCTTCGTGCCGAAGAACGTCGTTTGCTACCCCGAACGGGCAATCTCTCGATTTCATCAAACTTTAGATTATCATAACTTTGTGCTCCGCAATCTGAACGTCACATTTTTTATTTATTTTGCATAACTTTTAAAGGACTACAACTTTTATTATAGTTATTTTTGCAGAATGTATGTGGATTAGTGAAAAGTAAACCAAAGTTATACCCAAAACTAGGGGTGGAAGTTATGGATAACCTGCAAACCGCACCAACCCGTACCCATTATGGGTAACCATACCCACAAGTTGTGGGTAGTGGGTTGGGTCTGGGTAGTAAAAGAATGATTTTTGTTGGTAGTATCCACTACCCACCGCGGTTAATCCATAATAACCACACTAATTATATTTATTTACTGAATCAACTTTATAATATAATAGTATGTGAAAAGTGGGAGGCTAAAAATTAATGTAGCCACCATAATCAAATACGTACCTAATCAATTTTATGTGAGAATATTTTATTTTATAAAACACTATAATTGAGAGAGTGGAGAATAATGAATTCATTAAAAGTGGACACATTTAGTAATTAACTTATAACCCGACTCATTGATCGGAATGTTTATATTTGATTTTTATATTTTTATGTTACGTTTAAGTCTATCAACCCATTTAATTTTATTGACAATCATTCCATCGAGATGATACATGAAGAAAGAACATTCCGAGAAATATAATCATCATTTGAGAATATAAAATATAAAAATGTATCATTGACCTCATCTTCATAATGATAATTAAGTCCCCTTAAAATGTTATTGGTTAGTTAATTGTTAAGAAAGATATAGTATAAAAGTTCACTGGAATTCTCACACGACCCATAGATAGGTTGAAACTAAATCTAAAACCGCACAATCCTACATAAATGGCTCAATGCTCTCCTTTTTGGGGCAATATGTCACTAATAAAAAAGAAATGCAGAGTTGTTGGTTCAAGTCAACTATATAATAACAAACTCAGCTAAGAGGGACCATCAAAATTTGAGAGCAAACGACAAAATTGTGTACCTCCAATATACTAATAGACTCGATCAAAGTAATACAACGAAAAATTAGACACTTCTTATTTATCAGTTCCAGTAGGTTGAATAAAGAATCGACATACTTCATTAAATCAATCAATGATTCCTCGTTTTAAGATAGAAATAGGTTGCGGTAGCTGCAAAATCCATAAACCTGAAGATCCAATAGCCACCACTCTCCATTGAATGAACAAATTTTTATCTACTCTATCTTCAATCTCAAGAAACATATGTTTCAACCAAACATTCACTTTCTAATCCTCTTTCTGCAACTCCATTTTTGCTACTTTGATGAACCTTCTCTCTGCGGTCCTCAATTTATCTTCCCATTGGGGTTCTTGTGAACTCTCACTTCAACTCCTCAATCCTCTTCCTGTGTTTTGTCAACTCATCTTCCTCAGGGGCAGTTGTAATAAGTTCCATAAAACCAAAAACTCATCTCCAATTCCATCAATATGCTCATCTCCCCATGGCCGCCTTCACCTACTTCAGTCCACTTCCATGACCTTCAATACCCTCTACTTTTTCATTAATATTCTCATCATTTCTCACTTCTCTCTCTTCAACTACTTCAGTTTTGCTTCCCCGTCTTTCAATACCCTCCTCAATTCGATCACTACCCTCACCAACTCCCTCTTCTCTGCTAAGGATGGCAATGGGGCGGGTTTGGGGCGGGTTTGTCTAAACCATCCCCATCCCCATCTTCGAATACCCAAACCCATACCCATGCGGGGGAATGTTTTGCAAACCCATCCCTATACCCATGGGTTTCGGGTACCCATGGGTAATACTAACTCACTTCTACTGTCACTCCAGGAATTGGCCAAGTGTAACCACTTCCTAAAGCGTAGTATAGCGGGTTTAGGTTTAATTATCAACCCGGGTCCTAGATCTGATGACTACTCAGTGAATTCTTGTTATCTAGCAATGAAACTGGAATGCAAGTCTAAACTATCAAACTAACAAAGCAAGTAAACTGTTGTATTCAGGTTAAGAGAGGTCACCCAGATATGGTTCCCCCTAGACTGCAGTTAAGCCGGATTGTAATTACCAAGTTCAGTTTCTATGATAGTTATACTGCGGAAGGTTCTTAAACAGCCTGAAGTCTCGACTAAAGGTCTTCAGACCCTCTCAATCTGAGTCTCTAGCGGGCGACTAACCTCCACCGGAATAAACGGATTGAGGCCCTATGAACAAAACCTCCACTACCGGAGTAAATCCGGTACAGAATAGTGAGTTGGCTCCTCGACTAAAGTCACCAACTCCCTACCTTCAATCAAGGATGCTCTATCAACCTAGGCAGATATTCTCATTCTAGGTTAAAGCAGAAACAACAGGAATTTGATCAGGATTCATGCCATTCAATCATTCAAACCTCAATTGAATATAATCAAATCATAGAATCAGTACTTGGGTTCATACAATCAAACCTAACATACAAATCTAGGGTTCTCCATACCCAGATGAATGGGAGAACTACTCCATGGAGAAAGAGGCAAAAGCAGAATCAGACGCGGAATTCATACTGTGAAGGATGGATTCCTGCTCCTGGACGTTGATCGGCACTTCTCCAAGCTCAAACTGGCCTCCAATGGTGATGAAGATCAAGCTAGGGCACTTGGAGACTCTTGTTCGTCACTTTCTCTCTCTAGGAATCGCTCTGTCTCTCTAAAACTCGAATCCCCTTCTCTTTGGTTGAAAATCTGCTTAAAAAGGCATCACTGGCCAAAGCACGGTCGAGGGCACGGCCGTGCTTTGCCTCAGCCCGCCCGTGCTTTGGCTAGTGTTAATTACACGGCCATGTGTTGGGAGAAACACGGCCGTGCTTTGGAGAGAACACGGTCGTGCTTTGGGAGAACACGGCCGTGCTTCCAGCCCGTGTAATCAGCTCATTTTTGCCAAACTCGAATTAGCTCTCGGCAGTAAAAGCACGGCCACAGAACACGGCCGTGTAATGCTTTAGGTGTGCCCATGTTTTGGCTCCAGCTCGACGAAATGACTTCTGAATGCCCCGAAACTCGTGCTTAGCCTTCCCTCTGACGCCTGGGACCTAAAATATTACAAAATAGCACAACCCGGCGTAAAATAGGCCAAAATACACGACTATGCTTCTCAAACGGATAAGAACTAGGGGCGCAAATATGTGCAATTACATCGTTATCAAACCGTACCTATACATCCAACATTATTATACCTAAAATTTACAAGAAAAGTTTTAATTATTACTCTAAACGAACATATTATATCATGAAGTCAACAAAACACGATCATTTTCTTAATACGGTTCAAAGTATATGATCCTAAAACATCCATTAATACATAATATAGAGTATAATATTTTTCAAATTATTATCTTCTAACTCTTATACATCTACTAAGTAATAATTAACTAACATAATCTTGTAGACAAGGGGAAAAGTGAAAGAGTGAAAGGAGAATTGAGAGAAATGAATTAGATTTTGATTAAAATGGTCACTCAATTGCATTTCTACTATTTATTTCTTTGAGTTATCCTTATCACCATTGATAGATTACAATTTAATCCACACATTTTTTTATATGTGAAGAAATTCTCTTGGTGGGGCGGGTATGGGTACGGGTATGGGGCGGGGGAGGTCAAAACCATACCCGCCCCATACCCATCAAACTTTTTGCGGGTTTTACCCATACCCGCCCCATATCCGGTCAAAGCGGGGATTCCCGCGTTGACTGGGTCGGGGGCGGTCGGATACCCGCGGCCATGGGTTTTATTGCCATCCATATTCTCTGCCTTAAACTGCTACTGTTGAACCTTTCTTCCCACACCACTTCCATTCCCAAACTCAATCCCAACTCTTCTACTCCAAGTTCAACACCCCAAACTCCTACAATGTTGCATGAAAGCTTAATTTTAACAATCATTATGGTTTGCAATTAGATTAACAAACAATAAAAATATCAGCAAAATCAACAATTTCTAACTAATTCTAAAAAAATGTAAAAATTTGATTAGTTAGGTGGACCATAAGAATAAAAATTAATGAGGAAAATTATGGTTGCGGAGAACATTAGTTACGACAAAATCAAACATGAGTGGAAATATTGTAATTGAAAAGAAATATTTTTCCTAATTGTTATCTTATTTTATTATTTCAATAGCTAAGCAAAGAACAAAAATAAAGTATCGGAAACAAACAACCAAGATAGTAGACATGGCGCTAGGAAAGTACAACTGCCCCTATTCTACACAACATGTCCCTTGCTTTCAAACAAATATAGTACCCAAACCATCGTTCAAATTCATTCCTATATTTTATAAATCATTCACAAACTACAAACTTAGATAAATTGGGAAGGAAATAATAGCCTACCAGTTCAGTCGATGAACCTTATATGAAAATAGAAACTCATTGAATTTGAAACCTAATAACAAAAAGAGCATAAATGACGCAAGAGATCCATCGAGCTTTAAACATCATATCAGGCAATAAGATCAAAAGAAATAGATCTTATGCATGTTCTGCTCATGAGACAACGTGAAAATAAAAACCGGTTTGTTATTAATCAGAAAGATAAAACCATGAGACGTAAAAGCCGTTTTGTTATTAATCATTACTTCTCGTTCAATTGAAATGCTTTATTTGATGTCATGCTCACACTTACATATTTGATGTTATCAAATTTATAATATATTTGTATTCCAAATTTTATGTGTGAAATAGAGCATATATGAATACTATAAATTATGAAGGACACTTACTACTAAAATAGTTACTTTTATGTATAAAATATACTTGAAAGCAGGGTTTTCGCTCCGAAATTGTAGGAGTGCGGAAAAAAAAAAGTACGACAGGCGCTCTAGGGTTTTCGCTACCCATGCCGGCGGTAAATGTGCCGCTGGCGGGGGAAGGGTGAACGGACAGTCCCATGACGATAGAGACCACAGCAGGCTAGAGAAGACCGCCTACGGAGTCTTCTTCTCCGAATACGAGAGGCGATAGAGAAGCCCAGCAGACGAAGAAAAGGGCGAAGCAGACGGCCCCCGTGTTCGATGTTGATCCCAATAAAAACTCGACGGAAGCTGCGAATTCAGGACCAAACTCTGAGAGTCCGAGAAACCATCGACCTTCGGCATGGGGCTCGAGTGCAGGGGCCGCCCGTAAGCTGTTTGGAGATACGTCGCAGTCGGGGATGTGGTACGTGGCGGATTCAGACTCTGAGGATATTGCGGAGGCAATGAGGCAGGAAGGCTTGGATGTGGGATTTGACGGGGAGGAAGATCCCAAGTGCCCCCCTATTTATTTTTCGGCAGCTGAGGAAAGGATGTTCAATCGGGAATGGCGATCGGCACTGGTGGAGAAGGCGTTGGGACGATCGGTTTCCTATACACTAATGGCCAAACGGTTGACGAGCATCTGGGCAAAAGTGAGTACGATTCAAGTAACCTCAGCAAAAAATGGGTATTTTTTGGTACGTTTTACCAGTGGTGTGGACTACGAGAGAGCGATTACAGGGGGGCCATGGATGGTGGGTGATAACTACTTAACTGTTCATCCATGGACTAAGGATTTTAACCCGTATGAACATGAGATATCGTCCACAATGGTTTGGGCGCGGTTGCTTGAGATTCCGATTCAGTATTTTCACCCAGTAGCAGTGATGAAGATTGGACAGCGTATCGGGAAACCGTTGAGAGTGGATCATGCAACTAGCACGGGTGCTCGGAGCGATTATGCTAGGGTGTGTGTCCAGGTCGATCTAACCAAACCGTTACTCTCTATGTTTAGGCTACATGGGAAAAAGTATTTTATTCAATATGAGGGTCTAGAAAGGATTTGTCTTCAGTGTGGCACGTACAGGGAAAGGGGGCACTGTTCATGCATGCACGCCACGGCGGAAATGGAAACTGAGAAAGTGGTGCCGAATAATGATACAGAATTAAAAGCACCAGAGACTACCTATGGTGGTTGGATGATAGCAAAAAAGAGACCTCGAAGAAAGGACCAAGTTGATCGAGCTAATGTTTCGAATACGCGCAAAGGTAGCAAGGCGAATGAAGCACGGAGCTCGATAGGTGGCTCCAGATATATTGTGTTGAATATTGAAGAGATTGAGGAAGTGGATACAGTGAATGAGTCTCAACGGAATGACAACTCCAGGGTTACTCCAAAGGGAAACGACGAGAGCATTCATACCGCGAAACAGAAGGGAAAAGAGGTCAGCAGGGAAGAGGAAGAAGGTGAAAAACTGACGGGCACCCTGCCGGTGAGATCCTCTATGATGGCCCCCCCAGTCGATATCCCATCGACAAAAGCTCAAGGTAACTCCGCAGCCCTGGCGAGTGACAATCCAGTCTTAGCGGAGGTGCCACTACAACCGACGGATCTAGAAATAAGAGCTACTGATCAATGTATGGTTTCATCTAGGGTGACTCATCAGACTCGTCCCCCCGACCAGCGGCCTCTTGGGAAGGGGAGCTCAGATGGGTTAGCAACAGCGATGGACCTTGGGAAAATGAAGGGATGCCTCAGCAATGAGGCCCCCTCGACTTAATCCTGTGGGCGTCTTGATTAACCTACTTTCCAGATGGTTTTAAACATTAATATCTTTACGTGGAACTGTAGGGGTGCAGGGAGCAAACGCTTCCTAAGAGTGTTTAAGGAGTATCGACGGAAATATCGTCCTCGTATTGCGGTGATTGTAGAGCCGAGAGTCAGTGGTAACAAAGCAATTCAAGTTGTTGAGAAGATGGGGTTTGATAAGCACCTGATTGTTGACGCTGTGGGTTTCTCAGGCGGCATTTGGCTGACATGGGATTCAGCCTTAGTCACTATTACCGAAAAAGACCGTTCTGAACAAATGCTCCATGTTCAGGTGAGCGCGGGTAATGATTGCTGGCTACTGTCAGTTGTGTATGCTAACCCCGCTTTGGTTCAACGGCGGGATCTTTGGCAATCTTTGAGACAGCTCGCGGAGAGTGTAGCGAGCCCTTGGCTTGTGGTGGGGGACTTCAACTCTATCCTTCAACCTTCGGATAAGCACGGCGGGGCCCCCTTTGATGCTAGTCAGGCACGAGAGTTTCAAGACTGTGTTTTAGACGCGGGCCTGCTAGACCTTGGCTTCACAGGACCTCCTTTTACTTGGTTTAAGCGAGGTGTTAAGGAAAGGCTTGATCGAGGTTTGGCGAATGCTGATTGGTCAATTAAATTCCCAGAGGCGGTTGTGAGACACTTGCCCAGGGTGAAGAGTGATCATAGACCTATTATGATTATTTTAAACCCGAGTTTTCAGGCTGCGGGTCCGAAGCCATTCAAATTCCTCGCGGCGTGGCTGACTCATGAGGGGTTTAATGATATGGCTGCCCAAGCTTGGGCAAAAGGGACGGACTTTATCACCTCTATGGCTGCCTTTGTTGAAGAGGCAAAAACGTGGAATGCTGAGACTTTCGGGCATATTTTGAAGAAGAAAAATGCTTTAATCGCTCGGATTGAGCGGCTGGAATCGAGGTATGGTGGCGACTCGGAAATAGAAGCATTGCAGGCAGCGAGACAAGAGCTAGAGGCGGTTTTACTTCAGGAGGAACTACTGTGGTGCCAAAAGTCGCGGCTGGAGTGGGTGGCATCGGGTGACCGGAATACAAAATATTACCATGCTAGAACCATGAATAGAAGAAGGAGTAACAGAATCTCAACGCTAAAAAATGAAGAGGGGAACTGGATTGATGATCAGAACCTTCTACTGGACCTTGCTCGTCGGTTCTTCTCGGGGTTATACACTGACGATGGTGCACCCGTACAAAATCTTATGCGAACTTTTCCCGAAGTACCTGCTCCGTTGTGGGCGACGGTTGACAGGAAGTTCACTCCCGATGAGATTCTTAAGGCTGTCAAATCTATGGGTGCGATGAAGGCACCAGGAAAAGATGGTCTGAACCCGCTTTTCTACCAGCGCTGCTGGGAATGGGTTGGCCCTAAGGTAATCGACTTTGTCACAGCTTGTTGGCATACGCCGACGCGGGTTCAGGAGGTCAACAAAACGATTGTGGCTTTAATCTCGAAGATTCAGAGCCCCACCCTAATTGAGCAGTTTCGCCCGATTAGCCTCTGTAATGTGGCTTATAAGCTGATAACGAAATGTTTGGGTGAACGGATCAAACCTTTGATGTCGAGTTTAGTTCATGAGACACAAACAAGTTTTGTCCCGGGGAGACATATAACGGATAATATCTGTATTCTGCAGGAAGTGGTCCATTCGATGCAGGCTAAAGGGGGGAAGGTAGGTTGGATGGTGCTGAAGATCGACTTGGCCAAGGCTTATGACAGAATAAAGTGGAGCTTCGTGCTTGACACGCTGGAGGCTGTGGGTGCGCCGCGAAACTTCACGGAGTTGACTATGAGTTGCATAACCTCTGCATCAATGCAAATTCAGTGGAACGGAGGCCTTACTGAACCTTTTTCTCCGTCACGGGGCCTGAGACAGGGCTGCCCGCTCTCCCCCTATATTTTTACACTGTGTATGGAGAGACTGGGACACCTGATTAATGCTGCGGTGGAGGCAGGGGAGTGGCAACCAATCCGGCTCTCCCAAAGAGGTCCCAAGCTATCTCACTTGTTTTTCGCTGATGATCTGATTCTTTTCAGTGTGGCCTCTATGGAGCAGGTGCAGGTTATTTCGAAGTGCCTGGAGGACTTTGGGTTGGCCTCTGGTCAGGAGATAAGCAGGCCAAAATCGAGAATTTTCTTCTCTCACAACGTCTCAAATGTTTTGGAGACTGAGGTGAGTGCCGCTCTCGATATCCCTGTAACTAAAAACTTGGGGCGATACCTGGGTGTTCCAGTGATTCACGGCAGGGTGTCGAAAGCTACATATACTGATCTCATCGACATGATAGATTCCAGATTAGCAGGGTGGAAGGTTAATTCCTTATCTCTGGCGGGCAGAATCACTCTTGCTTAGGCAGTTTTATCTTCGCTAACGGCTTATACGATGCAGACTGCTCTACTGCCTGCATCTGTGCGAGAGTATATTGACAAGAAGATCAGGGGATTCATTTGGGGGAGTTCGGAACAAGGGAGAAAGGTTCACCTGATTGATTGGGAAACTCTCTGTAGACCTAAGGCAGAAGGAGGATTGGAGCTGAGGAGCGCGACAAGAATGAATGATGCTTTCATGCTCAAAATTGCCTGGAGACTTTTTGTCGAGCAAGACAGTATCTGGGCACAGGTCATCCGCGGCAAGTACCTAAGAGAGGTGAATGGTATTTGGTACCCTCGGCGTAATGGCAGGTTATCGAATTTATGGAGAGGAGTGCTTCGAGTTCTACATCATATCCCGGGAGGTACAATGTGGAACATCAGAAGCGGGATGCAGGTCGTGTTTTGGTCTGATAGATGGCTGCAGGATGGTCCGCCTCTGAAGGAGTTTGCTTTAAACCTACCTGAAGAAGCGAACAACCTGCGAGTGGCGGAGGTGGTGTTGAATGGGGAATGGAATTTGGAGTATGTCAGGGCCTTTCTCCCGGAACCTCTTGTTCTTCAACTGCAGCTTCATCCAATTCCAGAGGGAATGGAACCTGATGTCCCCACTTGGCGATTCTCGGAATCAGGTAAGTTCACTGTGAAGTCCGCGGCGGAGTTGCTACGGGAGGAGGAGGAGGGTAGCGAAGAACACCCTGCTTGGCGAGCTGTTTGGAAAATTCAAGGACCGCAACGTACACGTTCATTCTTTTGGTTGGTTTTGCATGGGAGGCTACTCACAAATGGAGAACGGCAACGAAGACACCTTGCCTCGTCCGATGCTTGTCGGATATGTGGGGCTGGACCAGAGACAGTTATCCATGTTCTTCGTGACTGCCCGTATGCTCGGCACGTGTGGTCGCACTTGCTTGAGGGTGAACCGGATAGTATATTCTTCCAGGAAGAAGTTAAAAAATGGGCTCTGCACTATTTGACAGGTAGAAGCAAGGTTATTGATCAGTCGGTTTTCGCAATCTTATGTTGGCAGTTGTGGAGAAACCGAAACCTCTGGGTCTTCGAGGAGCAATTGGCCAGTGCAGAGCAGCTCATTCATGCGGCGAAACTACTAAGTAATCAAGCTAAGGAAGCATTTGAGGTAGGCAGAAGTATTGTGCATGGAGAATCAGCTCGTGAAACGCGGCTTATCTGCTGGCAGAGGCCACCACCAGGCTGGGTTTGCGTTAACTCGGACGGATCAGTTGCTCTGGCTCAAGGAAGTTCGGCGGCCGGAGGCGTCATTCGAGATAGTGACGGTCGATTTGTGATTGCCTACGCTGTCAATCTGGGCGGCGGTTCCGTTACAAGTGCGGAGCTGGCGGGGATCGGTCATGGGCTACAACTTGCGTGGGATCGAGGCCATCGTCAAGTGATGGTGCAAACTGACTCTTCGACAGCCCTTGCGATCATTCAAGCGGCGGACATCTCGCACCCTCATCACACGATGGTCTCCTATATCCGGAGTCTGCTAGCGAGAGATTGGGAGGTTTCGCTCGGTCATGTTTTCAGAGAAGCCAACTTTGTAGCTGATCACGTTGCATCAGTAGCCCACTCTTTGCCAGTGGGAGTTCATTTAGTTGAGAACCCGAGTCCGAACTTGCACTATTGGCTGTACTTTGATTCCATTGGGGTTCAAACTCCGAGATCGGTTAATTTATAAGGGTTAGAGCGCCCCTTTGCGCTCTGCTTATTACAAAAAAAAAAATATACTTGAAATAGATAAAGCTAACAATTCTTATTTACACTAAGAAATTATTATGGCAATGAATTTTATTCTCGAAAATATTAAAAAGGAAAAATTGTTTCAACTCTGTGCGAGGTTTTGCCACCACTTCTGCCATCTTTCAGGCCCAATAATTCTTTTCCTATACGGCTTACGAAATTGACAATATATATATGTCTTCTAATTTTAATGAGATTTGATCTTATCATTTGTGTAATAATAGTTTTACTATTTTTTTTTGTCCATCATCAAATCCTTCCTCTGTAATTTTTACGACATTGACTACATATTTGCATTTGGATTCTTATGTACGAACTAGATAATATGTGAATGTTATTAATTATCAAGGACACTAATATTATAATTGAAAACATATAAAGCTAAATATTGCATCTCTAATTTTTAGACTAACAAACATTAACGGCAAAATACATTTGTATAATCATAACTTTCACGTTTGTAACAAATATAGCAATAACTATTTACAAACACAAAATAACCAATTCCGTCCATGTCTTTAACGGTGTTACTTAACAATCTGGCTGAACTTACCAAAATGCTGACCTGTCAATATTTCATTGGACACATGGATTAACAAAATAAAAATATATATAACATAAATGCAAATTTTCTGATATAATAAAAAAATAAAAGTAAAACATAAATACAATATTTTGTCGCCCCCCACTCTCCAATCCCCATCAATTACCCAGCAACTCCACCCTAAATTGAAGATGTAAGAAAACCCTTATGGGTCTTCTGGGTTTTTCCCCGCCGTCGCCATCACCTTCCTCTTCAACCCTCCTTTTATTCTTCCGATGCCAAAAAAACCCAGCTGACACATGTGCTAGCTTCTGCTTCTCCACTTCTCTCTTCTACTTGCCACTCCTCCCGACTTAATCCCCTTCCCGTCGACGAACGAGTAATCCCGTCGCCCAGAACAAATGGGCGAGTCGCGCCGCCGATAGTGGCAGAGCTAGTGGTGCTGCACCATCACTCATCCTACCTGCAAAAGCCCAAACTACGGACACACCCTCCCGTCCTCCAACTTCAGGCGCAAGCCCAGATCCAAGTCCGAGTTCCCTTCGAAGGCCACGAATCGCTCTCACTCGCTCCCGTACGATTCGCATGAGATCTTGAAATTGAGCGTCGTCGGCAAGATTGACCACCCGCAAGATCCTCTCCCTTGGCCGAGTCTTCTCAATCGACTCCGATCCCACTGCCGGGGAGCTCGTGGTATCCGCGGCGTCGACAGGGATGGGTGAATCGGAGTAACTGTAATAGTAATGGTGGGAGTAGATCGATGAAGGTTTGCAGGATTGAGGTCGCTGATGTAGATCGATGAGGCCCCAGTAAACTTTTAATTTTGAAGGAAACATGTATTGCATGTTAGCATATCTTAGATTACTATTATCACAACTTATTGAGTTTAAATCTTACATTTTAGTAATATATTTACCATTTTTTGTCCCATTAAGATTATCGTTTAGTACGGTAGTTGTTATGCTCAAAATAAAAAACATATACTAGGGTCACTCTAATTTATGTGTGTGTTTTGTTTTTGGTTTAGTTTGCTCTAAATATTACTATATTTGGAAATGCTCAAACGGAAAGCTGGATGTACTCTCTAGCTTTTTCAAAATTATCAGGACTACTGATTCTCATAAACCAGTTGGTCACAATAATTCGAGTTTTTGGGAGAGTTAAATCGTGGATTATATACCGTTTACTAACATCCCCCTTCAAACTCAAGCCATTCAGATAGGCTTGGAGTTTGGACAGGCACAGGTCCGGACACCGTGTGCTTAACAAAAACAAATGCGGTCACTGGGAATCGAATAAAAGACCTCAGGGTCATAGAAGACTCTGATACCATGTCAAGAACCAGTTGATTCCAATAACTCGAGTTGTTGGGAGATGTTCAATCGTGAATCATATACTGTTTACTAACACTGATACCATGTGAATTTTGTGGGGTTTAGTTAAATATATTTTATAATATTATATATTTGAATCTGTTAATTTCCTTTATATGTTTGTGCCTCACTAATTGCTATTTTCCCTCTATTATAAAAATCTTATTTTCTTGTTGAACATCTGGTCCAGTTCTGAAAACATTGGTTGTAACATGGGTCCAGTCGCATAACTCAAAACACCACCAAACTCAAAATAGGCGAGTTCTATAGAAAAAAAAACTCTCAGCTAATGTTAAACCTTATTTGAAACGATAAATACAGGTGAGTTGGGTTGAATTAGACAGATGTGTCGAGTGAGGTTCTTTTGTTCACTAGGCATTTAAAACATGTTTGAATATTAAGGTGTCTTTGACAAATATAGTATGCTTTAGGTAGGCCCAATAAGAAAAGAACTATATATAAAGGATCAAATCGAAAATTAATTGTGCTATAATAGTGCCATCATGATTTCTTCCACCTACATACAGTCTACCAAAACATCATGCAAATGGCGCTTCTTGGGAGTTTGGGAATCACAAAGAACCAAAATCACACAAATAGTGTTTGCTTCACCTTTTCACCGGAGAGAAGAAATGCAAGTAGTTAGCATTAGTTTACCAGTCCACCACCACTTGTTCAATTACGTAGCTTTTTCTTAACTATAAAATGACACATCCAATAGAATAGATCTCATACTGTACACCAAACCAATGGATCTCATCTTTCTTTGTTCATTTCTCCTCATTGCAACTCTGGTCGCCCACATCCTACAGCGACGTTCGCCAAAGTCCAAAACCAAAACCCTCCCTCCAGGCCCACCGAGATTGCCGATTTTTGGCAACCTTCTCCAGCTGGGCCAACAGCCCCATAGGGACCTAGCTTCCTTGTGCGACAAGTATGGACCATTGGTCTATCTCCGCCTCGGCAACGTGGATGCCATTACCACCAATGACCCGAACACCATCCGGGAAATCCTACTCGGACAGGACGATGTGTTCGCCTCCCGCCCTCGTACCCTCGCCGCCGTCCACCTGGCCTATGGCTGCGGTGATGTGGCGCTGGCCCCCTTTGGGCCACAATGGAAGCGAATGAGGAGGATCTGCATGGAGCAGTTGTTGACGATCAAGAGGCTGGATTCATTCTCCAAGCAACGAGAGGAAGAGGCCCAACATCTAGTCCAGGACGTCTGGGCCCAGTCTCGAACGGGGAAGCCCATTGACCTGAGGGAGGTGTTGGGAGGGTTTTCGATGAATAACGTGACCCGAATGTTGCTAGGGAAGCAGTACTTTGGGGCTGGATCTTCGGGCCCTCAAGAGGCGACGGAGTTCATGCACATCACCCATGAACTGTTTAGACTATTGGGCCTAATCTATTTGGGGGATTACTTGCCATTTTGGAGGTGGATTGACCCGCTTGGATGCGAGAGGAAGATGATGGAAGTCGGGAAGCGAATTGACGACTTCCATATCAAGATCATTGAAGAACATAGGGCGTCGAATAGAATGAAGAAGGAGAATAATGAAAGCAAGGAAGAAGCTAAAGAGATGGATTTTGTTGATGTTCTGTTGTCGCTTCCTGGAGAGGATGGGAAAGAGCATATGGATGATTTGGAAATCAAAGCTCTTATTCAGGTAAAAGTCGAGTCATATTTTTCTAGTTATTCGTCTTAGGATATGTGTTTAAATTTATCTTAATGTATTATTATGACTTTTTTATTCTCTCGTCTGTTTGGACCCTTACATACTAAATGGGTATAAGTTCCTAATATAGAAATATGTCACTTATTCAAAAAGAATTACTTTCCAAAGTTTGATGACTAATGCTAGACTTTTAAATGGGTATATGCCACCTAAATGGGTTTTTGCCGGGGTATTCATACAAATTAGGATTATATATATGTATGTATGGTGCATATATACATATAAAGTAATGATTTTTCCTTTAACTTGACTTGAGGTAGGATATGATAGCGGCAGCGACAGACACATCAGCCGTGACCAACGAATGGGCAATGGCAGAAGTAATAAAGAATCCAAACGTCCTCCGCAAGATTCAAGAAGAGATTGATTCCGTGGTGGGGCGGGAGCGAATGGTGAAAGAGTCGGACCTAACCCACCTCAATTACTTGCGTTGCGTGGTCCGAGAGACCTTCCGCATGCACCCGGCCGGCCCACTCCTAATCCCGCATGAATCCTTGCGGCCCACTACCATCCATGGCTTCCACATTCCGGCCCAGACCCGCGTTTTCATCAATACCCACGCATTGGGCCGCAACAGGAAGATATGGGCTGACGTGGATGAGTTTCGACCCGAGAGGCATTGGCCAGCTGACGGGAGTCGAGTGGAGATCAGCCATGGAGCCGACTTCAAGATTCTACCCTTCAGCGCCGGCAAGAGGAAGTGCCCTGGCGCGCCGTTGGGGGTCACTCTTGTGCTCATGGCTCTAGCACGATTGTTTCATTGCTTTAATTGGACCCCGCCGGATGGAGAAACTACTATTGACACCACAGAAGTCTATGGAATGACGATGCCCAAAGCTCAGCCTCTTCTTGCCGTCGCTACACCGCGTCTCGCAGATCACACCTATCACTGATCCCATTGCTTCCATATCTATCTAGATAATATAATATAATATTATACAACAACCTCAAGGATCAAACCATACTTTCTAAATTAGTTTTTCTTCCTCCACCTACTTCAACCTAAAATCCCTGTATTTCTAAGTCCTCAATCGTGACTATTTAATTATAATACTTCTCTCATATCATATTTTTAATGTCAATACCTTATATTAAAGTGATTGTGGAGAGAATATTTTTACCACCTAAAATTCAACACAAATTTTCATGTGACTTCTTTTTAAGCAATTTTTACAATAATTTCTTAACTTTCTCCAAGTAACAAAACTATTTGAACCTCAAATATGTGGGCCAAAATTATTATTATCATTTAAAGTCTTTAGAAAATTAGTTTAACACCTATAACTATAAGAAAGCTTAGATACAATAGTTAGTGCCAAAATTATTATTATCCTTTAAAGTCTTTGTATTACACTCCCTAGCTAAATTTTTCAAAAAAAAAAAATATTATTTGCTACAAATTTCATAGTATTTGTAATAGAAAGATGATCCCATAGAACAACAAAGTAAAACATCTACTTCATTCTACCATAAAGAATAACATATGCACTACCTTGTATCACCTATAAGTAATTAGTGGCGGAGACAACATTTGAAATTATCTCTGTGCTCTTTTCAAAATATTAATATGTAATAAATATAATCAAATTAGTAATATTCAAATCCATCAATGATGGTTCATTAATGTCCATTAATTTAGACTCCTTCCTCATTATTTATAGATAAAGAAATAACAGATCAATACAATTATTGTTTGCATAAACAACTAACACAAGTTTTCATATTCTGAAAGACATGCAAAATATATTCGTTGTCTACACATTAGAAAATCATTAGCAAACTGATTGTCAATTCGACTTCGAAGTTGCAAATCAAAATGTTCTTAATATCACATCAAAACTAACTTCAAAAGCAAATAAATTGACTGATATGACTGATGCACTTTTGTCTCCACCATTATTTGAGATAATTTATCATGAACAAATTGTTGTCGAATAATAGTGTCATGAATGAAACCAATAAATTAATCAGTATTTTGTCAATGAATGAACAAGTAATGAGTTGTGGTGTAGTGTAGTCGCAAAACATCCTTATGTTACTTGTAGGTGTTATATATATATTTTCCTCCAAAAATTACCCATGTCATGTGATAGAGGAAATATCACCTTGCTCCGCCTATGTGAGTAATATAGAGATGATCCCATCGTAGTGAGTGGTCAAATTAACCGTTCCGAAGACTAGGATGGTATTTCACTGAGGTCTCTCACAGCCACTTACTCACGTGATGTGGGACAAGTTCTATGATTTTGAAATTGTGAGTGTGGAGGTTGAGGTGTCTCAAGGGTTGAAGTTCTGTTTGGTTTGACAACATCTAAATTAAAAGCAGTGCATGAAAGGAAAAACTATTCTACTTGCTAGTGAAGGAAGCAAGAGGGCGAGGCATTGCATATGCAAGCTCCTACTATAGTTCCTTACACTCGTACTATAGACAATATATGAGATGTCTAGTCTTTTTTATGTTTACTCCTACCATATGCAGTAAAAAATGTCAGCTCTACTAGGAAAAGATATACACCTTATGAAATTTTCCGTTGAGAAAGTTGATGCACTTTGATCGATTGAGGATTTATCATGGGCAGAACGTTGTGGCTAGTCTAATCCTACCCCATGAAGTCAGGTTTGAGGATATGACCTCAGAAGCCAGTCCTCATGTTAAGCACACAATCAAATCAACAATAGCCAAAATTGAATGTTACCTAGTCTAGAACCTCTAGGTTTTGCCTACCTACGCAACTAAGA